TCATTTTTCGAGTCCACAACAAGCTAAAACAATCTTTTGAATAATTTTACGCAGAATAATAACTACTTAATTTAATTCAAATAGCCAGTTTATATATTAAATATTATGTGTGTTTGTTTTTAAGTTGTTTTTAAGTTTCTAAAATAATTATAGCGTATACTTATTTCAATCAATTTTTTTACAAACATTTTAAGAAGGGTTTTTTGAAAAAATTATTTGAAAAGCATTAAAAAAACAACAGCATTGTTAGTGCAAATTTATTTTTAAAAAGTGTTTTATAAAAGCACATAACTTAAATATTTTTTCTATTAAATTACTGTGGACTTATGCATTATTCATTATAATTATTTTGTTTCAAATTCTCCTTTTCTCTTTTGCTTAAAGTTTTTTATCACAATTTTAAAAAAGTCTATTAGTATCAATTTTGAATTTTCTACTGTAGATAAATTGTAAAAAATATTTAAAAACACACATAAGCCAAACAAATAGCCAGTTTATGTATTAAATATTAAAAATTATGCTTAAATATTTAGCTTGAAATATTCAAATGAAAACAACAGGTTTAATGCAATGTTTTTTTTGTGTCCCGTAAGTAATCAATTATAATTCCTCAACTTATTATAATTGAAAAAAATTTCAATTTACAGGAAAACAAATAAATGATTTTGGGATGATTCATATATATATATACATATATATATATATATATATATATATATATATATATATATATATATATATATATATATATATATATATATATATATATATATATATATATATATATATATATATATATATATATATACATATATATATATATATATATATATATATATATATATATATATATATATATATATATATATATATATATATATATATATATATATATATATATATATATATATATATATATATGTATATCGACATGCAGTTAATCTCAGCATGGCCTACTTAGATTAAATTTATTCAGCCGAGAACCGTATGTCCATATTTTGTGTTTTTTCTGTTTATCATAAATAAATATTTAACAATTAATGGGGTATGTGTCCAGTAAATCTAGTCTCAAGAATGATACAATTTTAAAAAATATTAAAAAAATTAGTTGGATATTCTGGCAGAACGTCTTTACAAATATTTTTTTAAAATATTTTCTTTTGTCATTAGTTCATTTCCAGTCCACTTCAACCAGACTTTGTTTAGCTATTTTTTTTTTTTTTTTTTTTCAAATATTTTACTTTTTAATAACTTTTTTTTAAATTAAAAAACGTTATTTCAACTTTCAGTTTGGTATTATCAACAGTTAAAGAACCTCTTTTATGTAAATATTAAATTAAAACCACGTTGTTGCGTAATATCAATTCTTTGAATAGAAGTTAAACTTTATGTTAATCAAATGAATATTGCAATGTTGAGACTAGATTTACTGGACACATATCCCATTAATTGTTAAATATTTATTTATGATAAACAGAAAAAACACAAATTATGGACATACGGCTCTCGGCTGACGAAATTTAATCTAAGTAGGCCATGCTGAGATTAACTGCATGTCGATATACATATATATATGTAGCTTCTATATTGCAGTGTTGCTAAATTAAAAAATTGTAAAAGTTTTTCTAAAATATTACAACAAAGAAACTTGTAGCTTATATTAAATAGTTTTGCAAATACATATTTTATCACTCATAAAGGTTTAGTAGCCATGCAAGGCGACTGACTGCTACCTTTTTAAACTTAAGTCTTTGTTTTAGAGCACTAGTTGTCCCGTACTGACTATCAAAATGTTACATAATATACATATAAATATTTGTAAAATGCGATAAGAAAAAAATGATTAATTAGTATTAGTTGACGAAAATCGAATGTTGATAAAAGAATAAACAAAACAGATCAAGTTACTTAATCTAATAAGTTTTTTCAAAAGAAACTAAAACTTATCGAAACTAAAATCTATGCTATGATGACGAAACTTCAACTGATATATTTTAAAACTGAAGTATTTTAATGGTTTTATTTATTTTCAATTTACAAAATATTTTTATGAGTCATTTTTCTTTATATTAAACTTAATATAAATATATAACTATTTCAAAAATGCAATGGTAAACAGTTTGTTTACATCCGTTGGTGGAAGAAGGCTTTTACTTTCTGGTTAAATGCTTATCCGCGGTGCTGTGTTAAAATCGTTGTCTTTTTAGAGCACTTTTATAATTATAACTACAATATCTCTCATAAGTCATGTGATTATAAATTAATTTTTTTTTTTTTTAATATTATGCTTTACCGTTCAATAAATATTACTCTGCATACAAATATTACAACTAAATTAATGGCAGAGCTTTAAGCGTTGAGTTTGCCTTACCACTGAGTACCGCGTTGCAACTTTTTTACGAAGCTTTTACAGGATTATATATCAAGAATTAAGGAGCTGTCTATTAAGGTGCATCGAAAAATAAAATTTGGATTTTTTTTATATATAATAATAAATAGTTGTTTGCTTTTGCTTTAAAATTATCAAATTTCAAAAAAAAATAACTTTAAATCATAGTCTTCAGATGCAAGGAGAGAAAAAGAGAGTAAAAAAAAACCTGAAATAATTTTTTTTTTTCAAATTTTAAAATTTTTTTTTAAATTAAGTACTTGCGTTTCGGAACGGGCGTGAGACAATTGAGTATTTGCAAAGCTAATTAAAAAAAATAACTTAAATGAGTTCTTGGCCCCCTCTTAACGCGTTAGGAAAACCTGAAAACCATTTTTTTAAGTGTTAATAATTTTTTTTCTAATTTTGAAAAATATTATTCACAGCTTTATACTAATTTAGTTTATATAATAATATTTTTTTAAAAGCATCGAATTTCCAAAAAAATTATGGTCTTCTAAATAAAACTAAAATGAAAAAATTGAAATCCCTGATCCCCTTATCAGCAACTGTCAAAATTTCACAGACCCTCTCTCCCCCTCATTTTGTTTTATGTTATTAATGGACAACCCCGAAATAAATGTTTTCAAAAGTGAAAAGAATGAAAGGATCATATTAATCAGAAACATATTATTAATTTAGGAAAATGTGAGAAAATGTCATTGGTGAATTGTAATTTTTGTTTTTATTATTATTATTTTAATTTTGAAATCTAAATAGCAATCTAATTATTTTTAAAATGCTGTTTAGATTTGAATTAACTTTATTTTTATTGGTCTTAAATTAAATTATCGATTTTAGAAGAAACATTTATAACAAAATAAATCAAAATATGATAAATATCATTTTGATTCAGCCTCAACCTGATTTTTTTACCTCTCTGGAAACATTTTTTGGAATTTTTTATGACAAGAAAGGTTCGCGATTCTGAATTAAATGTGAGTTCTGAATTGAATGTGTTTTTAATTTTAATAATGAAAAGATTTTTTGTTCTGAAAATTTTGTATTATTATTATAGTCTATTAAAAAAATTATTTTTTAAAGATTTTGGAGTTCATATTTTGCTTTATACAAGAACTGTAAAACAGGATGGATGTTAAGTTTGAAAATATTATAGTTAATTGGTATTTAATTATTAATGCTAATTTATTTGCTAGCTAACAAAATAAAAAAATGTTTAAAGGTTTTTAGAAATTATCAACTGAAAAATGATTGGAAACGATTGTCATGGCAAAGCAAGGAATTTATCGCGAAGACATTGCAAAACAGGTGAAAGATGGTCAATGATCAAAAGCAAAAGAATAGACTTTGGGAAAACAACTTTTATGCAATTAAAAGAAGTAATGTAAGGAGAAAAGTTGAAAAAATAATTTGTTCGTAGTTCCATTCAAGCATGGAAAAAGCTTCTCTATGGTATAGGGTTGCTTGTCGAGATTGTTGACAGGGTTGCTATGTAGAAATATTTAAATCACAACTAAAATTGTCTTATTTAAGAAATAGTTTTCTTTAACAGGATTATGCTCTATACTATAAGACCAATTATTGAATGGAAAACACAAAACGTACTCTAATCAACGTTATTGAACTGCGTATTCAAACTCCTGGTTTAAATCCAACTAAATATTTGAGAAGTTTTTTAGTAAGGTAAAGAGAATCAATTAAAAATCTGGATCATTTTAAGCAACATTTGCAGGCATTTAAAATATATCTACGAAAATAGATTTAGTTAAAAACAGTAAATAAATTATTTTATCAACTTGCTGCCATCAAATTTTAGGGCTTTTTTGTTCTTAGCCTTCAATCATTACCATTTATCGTAAAGCATCCTTATTAGACATAATTATAAATAATTAAATGTTTGGAGTTTGCTTTATGCCTGAAAGTTAACAATCTTTTACACTGAAAGATTCTTCATTTTTTATCCTTTAATTATTTTTGTATCCTCTGACAAATACTGTTTTGACAAACTAAGAACCAGACTTCGACAACTAAAAATACTGTTTTGATAACTAAGAACCAGGCTTTGACAACTAAAAACCAGGTAAAATCTATTTCAAGACTAGTGAACGCTGTTCTTGAAGCACCCGAGGGACATACAAAATATTAATGCTTTAACGCAATTTGCATATGTTTTTGTGATTATGCTAAACACTTTACAATATTTAGTTACTTTTATTACAAAATGATTTTCTTTTGTTATATTGTTCTAAAACTGAATAAAACGTACATTTTTGCATTTATTTATGTCTTTGTGCCGCTTTTCAACTTGCAGCATATAGAGAATTTATTTGCAGATTCGTAAAAACAATTTTTTGCTCTATGATATTTTTAGAGTTGATAAGCATCTTTAGGACAACTTTATCAATTTTTTAAACATATTGAACAATACATATATAAAAAGTATTTATAAAATATTTATTTTGTTTCTTATTTAGGCACGCACTGACTGTTTTACCGTTGTTTTTGTGTCTTTTCTTAAAGAGTCATATTTTATCAATTTTTCAGTTGTCATCTGTTAATGAAGAATTTTTTAATTATTTTATTACCTTTTAGTTTTTTAACTTTATTATTTTTGTTAAGCAATTTAATTATTAAGTTATTATCCATGAAATTTTAACGGAATTCGTAACAAAACACCATTTAAGAGCATTTAACGACGAAGTTTGCATGGCAAATATGCTGCTTATTGGAAGGAAGTTTGAATTGCATATATGGTGTTTATATTTGGTAGAGCAAATCTGAACTTATTTTTATTTTTTTTGACTTATATAGAAATTCTTTGTAAAGCATTTGATTAAAACGGTGACAGTTGTAGTCAAAGGTCCTAAATTAAATTGTTACTGCATTCTCTTTTATTACGTTCAAATACATATGGATCTCATGTATTCATTTTGTTTGTTTATGTGACGTCAATCAAATTTTTTTTAAATTATCAATCGCTAATAAAAACTGTCACTTCTATTTGATGTTTGGTGTAAATCATAGAAAGTAATTTATAAAAATTTAAAAAAAAAATCAAGTTCTACCTGTAAATTGACTAGTAATTCTAAATGTTAGCAAACGATATGGAAGAAGAACTTGATTATAGAAATCTTCTGGAAAAAAACCGTGTGGAAGTCATAAAGTGTTTGAACCTAGACCGACAGTTTTTATTTAGTTACTTACGAAGTCATTCAGTATTAGATGACGAGGATTGTGAGATAATTTTAAATGCTGGTGCAAGTCGTCAACAAAAATGTTCAAAGTTTCTAGATGTCTTATCAACTCGAGGTCCACGTGCTATTGAGTATTTTATACAAGCCCTAGAAATCGACCATGAATATTTGTATGAAGTTATTACAGGAAAGAAACCACTAAATCAACGTAAGCACATATTGTTTATAATTTTTTTTTAATTTTCTATTTTCTCATACCTTGTTCACATTGACACAATAAGTTTAACTGCAGCTAAATGATATTTAAATAAAACAGAAATGCGTCGTTGTTTTATTAGAACACAATTAATACGTTTTTTAGACTCATAGTTAAAGAGAACTATATATATATATATATATATATATATATATATATATATATATATATATATATATATATATATATATATATATATATATATATATATATATATATATATATATATATATATATATATATATTTATATATATATTTATATATATATATATATATAACAAGTTGACGCTTTTCAAAGTTTTTAGTTCTAATTGAATTTAAAAAACACAAATTAAGCTTAAAAACTTCATAATTTAAGTTATTTAGTTTAATCTTAAACTAGTTTTGAAACACTGAAAGTTTTAAAAATAATTAAAATAATTCAATTTCTGAATAAGAAATTTTTTAAAACCATCTTGTTTCCGAAATAAGCTTTCCCATGGCTTAATAAACAGTAGATGTCAACAAATACAACAAAAACAAAGACAAATATGTGAGTTGTTCTAATGTTTGTACAATTACAACTTATTTATTTTTGTACAGACATATTATTTGCACAGACACGTGTATTGTACAGACAAATACAAATGAACTGTTGCAAGGCTCAAAATTAGCCGTAAAGTTTCAAAAATCAGAAAAAAAGATTATGAGTTAAAGGCAAAAAATATTTACTCCAAGTCTTTTATTTTATTTGTAAGAGTATAAATAGAAGTTCTTGCCCGGCGGGCACGCGTTGTTCGGAGGACGTCCAGACATCCGTAAGACAACCGACGGATGTCCCCCGGATATGAAAAAGATCTCACCCATGCCCACTGGGTAAGATCTTTTTCATATCGTGGTATATTTGCTAAAAGTTTGTACAACGAACGATATACAAAGATATACAACGATATACAAACGATATACAAACGATATACAACGATATATAACGATATATAACGATATACAAAGTAAGATCTTTTATCAATACTTCTAGGTGTGCTCCTTGACGAAAATAGAATAGATATTAAGTTGATATGGTGTGTATTATAGAACCCAGTTAGCATACATACACTGAGCCAACGTATGTAAAACCATCGCGAAAGTCAGCTGTTAATTCCAATGCAAATATAACTTCGATCCAATGTCATGTTTTCAATAATAATATAGATTAAAGGATTACATACCCATATACATTGGGTTAACGTATTCAAAACCATCGTAAAACATAATTGTTTTTACAAGTAAAACTTAACTTTGATTCAATATATATAGATTTAGGTTTACCCGTTGTATATTATCCAACATTGATTCAATATATATGAATCAACGTTGATATAATGTAAATCCAACGTTGCGATTGCAAAATTATAAATCTTAAATAAAATCTTCCATATATGTTAAAATTTCAAACAACATGCAAAACAAACATCATTAATTTGCGTGAATTTTATGCCATATCATGACTTTTTTCTAGTATTTATATAACATATATATCTAGTATATGTATAAATAACAAGTCAACACGCCAATACTCAATGGCTAACGTCGACAGCACGCGTTCGAAAAAACTGTGGTCGAACAAGATCTTGGTGAGATGGTCTCCAATGACATTTAAATAGACTACAAGTAGAGTTACCGCATCAAGAATAAATAGAATGTTAGTACAATTCAAAAAAATATTTTGCAGTTGCAGTTTTTATTTATGGTGCACATTGTATCGTATTTAGATTGTCCCCAACCTTGATTTTGCTGTGCAATCCTGGTCGTCGCATTTAAAATCCAACATTGCTATCCTCAACACCTAGCAACAACATCTAGCAATAAAAACAATATCATCTATTAAACACCTGTCCTATAAAAATCGACTTCAACAGCTCGGTCTAACAATGTTTGAATAACGCCTTAAAAAAGCAACCATATCGAGCAATTTAAAATCACGCGTCAACTCGAACTTATCACCTTTGTGTTTTTATTTTCGTCAGCATAGAGGGAACAGCGCCTCTTCATTAAACTATAAACGGATTTATTGTATTTGTTTGTTGCTATTTTTTTTATCAATAAATGTAAGATATATATATATATATACATATATATATATATATATATATATATATATATATATATATATATATATATATATATATATATATATATATATATATATATATATATATATATATATATATATATATATATATATATATATATAGTTTTATGTTTAAAATTTTAAAAAATAATCCAACTTTGATAGTATCTAAAATAGAAGGTTTTGCTAATTAAAAAATACAACGTTTAATAAACGTAAAATATTGCACTTTGACCACATTAAATACATTGTACCAACGTTGGATTTTTGTTGTTGGCGACATCCCCTCTCTAATCTAACACAAGGTTCAATTCTTCTAAAACTTTTTGAACCATGATCATTAACCTCATCTTTCTATAAAATATTAAAGTTGAAGTCAAACCAAAAATAGATAATTTATTTGACTTTTATAAGTAAATATGAAAATGTTACCAAGTACTTTTCACAAATTTACAATGATAAACTATATAAACAAGGTAACTGAAAGAAGATCACGAAGATCTTGTCATCAGAACCTTAAATAAGCCGTTTTTTTTTTAATGCATAAATAAAATTCTTACAATAACGAAATAAAATAAATGAATAATATTCTTACAATAATCAACACAAAGCTTTTAGTGATTTAACTGCACTTAAATTACAATTTTAAAATTTTGAACGCCATAAAAGGTTTATTTAAAGATTTATACATAGAGCTTTTTGAATTTGTAGCCTTTTATGGAAAATATGTTTTCTACAGAGATGCGCAAAACAAATTAAAAATGTGAAAAATCAAAATAGGGTTAAAATTACGTTAAAAATTATTTATTTTTAAGTTCAAAAACTATTTTTGTTTGAAATAACCAAATTTTGATGACAAATGACAGATTACGGACTCTTTGGTACTTGCTTCAAAGTTCTTCGCAAGATATTCTTGTCAGGTTTAGTCTATATTTTGATAGATTTTTCTTAACTTCATATACTCCATCACTAACCGATTAAAAAATTCTATTGGATTAAAACAAGGCAATGAGGATGGCTGCATATTTATTGTCCAAACGTGAGAAGTTTCATTTTAAAGAAATTCGACAGTTTTCTTGGCTTGCTTTTGCTTGAACTTCTTGTAACAGGGAAGCAATTGCTCACTCAAAAGTTCAATATAGACTTCTGAGTTGATTTTTATCCCCTCTTGTACAAAAACTAAATGAGTTTTAGGTCCGTCAGAGCAGATTCCAGCCCAAACAATAATTCCTGCAGGGAGCTGTCTCTTTTGAATGGTTCTGTCTTTATCTGGAATGTCTTCTATGGAATTTCTAATGATCATGTCATTATCTCGATTCAGTTTAGGTTGAACCACAGGAAAGTTGTGAGCATGGAGAAAGTCTAACAAAATGCGCCCTTTTTTTTTTTTTTTTTGTTGCTTCACTCAGGTGTTGTCGTTTGCTTTTTACAAAATTCTTTTGGCCTATATCTTAGTGGATAAGTGTTTGCATCGTTTGTCTTGAAGTTCTAGCTTTTCTTGCAAGTTTGAAAATTGAGCGGTTTAAATTACGCCGTAACTTATAACCAAATGCTTTTATAAGATTATTGGTTCCTGCATTTTGTTTTTGGCTAACATTTTTTCCATAAACCAAATCGTTCTATTTGAAGATCGTTAGGACTTTGTAAACATTAGATCTTTTTAAATGTCCGTTCATACTTTTGAAAAATCACTTCATTATTGTTGCAATTAACTTCTTTTAAAATTTCCTGTGCAAAACGTTTATATTTGTTCTGAAAAAAAGAGAAATTCAAATTTGTGTCGGCATTTCCTGCACCCCTGCAGATCAACTTTTTTTCCTTAATTATTAAAACTTTTCTCTCTATGTAACTCATTAGTTTCTCATTCTGCAATTTAACAACTTCATTTTCATTTATCAATTTTTTTGCCAGCTTGAAAGAATAAAAAATATTTTAACTATTTTTTTAAATGAAAAATTAGCAAAAAAGTAGATTTATATGTAATCAATTTTTATGCGGTTTTTTTGTTACAACCTGTTATTTTGTATTTGACGAAATAGTTGAAACGGTCGAAATCGTACATTAAAAAAAGAAGCCACATAATGAACATGAATAATTTGAGTTACAACACTTTGAAACGTGACCTAACTTTAAAAAAATAAAACATCTTCTTTTCTTTATAAGAATAGCCGTGGCGCAGTGGTAAGCAACTTGGCGCAGTGGTTAGAGTTTTGGCTCAGAGCCCAGAGGTCCGAGGTTTAACGACGACTCTAGCCCAATAAGCGACACTGGTAAGGAAGGAGGCGTGAACTTCCACTAAATGCTCGAAAGTTGAAAATTGATTTTCAAAATTTTAAAATTTTGTTTGCATGTTTTTCTAATAAATTATTATCTTGATAAATTAACAATTTGTTTAAATTCATATCATTTAAATATAAAAAAGTAATATTATAATATAAATTACATATACAAATAATATAATATATCTAATATAAATTTAACACATATTTATAAAATAAATTAAATAAGTATGAAAATTTAGCATGTTTAACTTGTTTTAGATACCAAACTAATTTTAATTTATTTTAGTAATATTTTTTATTATAATATTTAAAGTTTGAACGTTTTAATTATTTTTTTTTAAACTTTTTTAATTGAAAAATGTTTTTATATTGAATAGTATCTGAGATATTATTTTGGTATTTTAACCATAAATCGAGAATTTAACCATAAATCGAGTATTGATAATAAGAAAATCTAAACATATATCAATTTAAAATAGTTAAAAGATGTCCAATAAAATAGAATGAAAATAGTATTTTGTAAAATAATAATTTGATGATATAATGTTTTATTTCTAAAACC